GTCATTTTTTAGCAAATCTGTGAAGGTACCTATAAAACCAGTGGCTGATTTCACAACTTAATTACACATTACATTTTCTTTCTTTTTTTAATTCTAAGTTGTAGGGGGAAAATGAAGTTAGTGCTATTTGAAGTATTTCTTTATTTATAAATATTTTAGAAGGTGAAAAAGATATAATTTTTCAACTACATATAAATTAGTTCAGTATTTTTTAAGTCTATTTTGTTAGTAATTTATAAAAAATTCAAAAATTCTTGTTCAGTTTTAGTTTTCCATTTTTAAATTAAATGCTTTTAAAAATGGGTGTATGATAAACTTTTTTTCTTTTTGAAAATGGCATACACATGATGGGAAACAGGTGGTACAAAAAATTACTATTTTACTCTTCAAATTTGAAAGCAAACTTGATATTCATATATGTTCAAAATAGATAACAGAATTAAATTCATCTTTTAGATATCAACTGGAATAATTTAAAATTTATGAAGATTTAAATTGCTTTCTTTTGGAGTTTGAAATTTCACAAATAACTCATTTCAAATCAATTAAAAAAAAACAATTGCATTGAATCATTTTTCTTTGAATTGGAATTTAAGGCAGTTATGAAAATAATTATTTAAAAATAGTTATTGAAAATTAATTCTCAAAAAAATTGTTAATTTGATGATTGCTCAAACTGGGAAAATTTGATAATGTCTGTGGTTGATTTTTTTTTTTTTTTCTATCAGTCAGTGAGGTGTTTAAGCTGTTAACAGAGCTCAAAGATCCAGTCAGAAGTTGGGAAAACTAATATCTGAACCATAATGGTTTTCATATTCCATGGTATAGATATTGATACAGACAGTTGAGCCCCATTATTATGTATACCTGATGTAGCTAACACATTTTAGCTGTCTTATTCTTCAGCCATCATCAGGTGTATATTCAATTTATATCTTAATTTTTAGTTACCATACTCAATAATTGCATCAGTTTCTCTCTTCTTTTTTTTAAAAATTCATTCAGGTGGTGCGTGTGCACGCACACACAGTTCTATTGAAATCCAAAATTTAATTGACTTTATATAGATTTTTCAAATGTGACGGTATCATGTTAGCATGTTCTCATTGATTTTCATTATTACATTTCATTCTAAAATCACAGATAGCTCATGTTATAGTCACATAATTTCTATACATGTAATTTTTATATCCTCCTTCATCACCTGTTTTGTTTTTCTTCTGAAGCTTTATGCTAAATTTTATTCAGTATATCTGCTTTCAGGCCTTCTGTTATGTGGTATGAACAAAAAGTTCTTGTCCCATCATCGTTTTTTAAAACTTATTTGTTGCCTTGAAATAATGCTTAGTATTTCTTCTTTTGAAGGAAGTATTCACTGAAGCTAACTGTTAGGTTAGTTTTTTCATTGTTTTGGGGCTAATAGATCATTATCATTTAATGATTTTTTTTGTTTTTAAATTGTAAATATCTTTTTCAGCATATGGTTTATATGAAGTTTGATACATTGGCTATGACTTGTGCTCACTTCAGTAAAATATCTAAATAATCTAGTTTTTGCCACCAATACTTGAATATACTAAGGAAATTAAGGTGTAAATATTAATTTACCTTAACTATACAATGCATTTATTTTATTTAAAACATTTTATTAGGAATGAAAATAGTCATCAGCATATAGGCCAACATATGCTTTTTTATGCAAGCTCTTTCATAAAATATAAGAACAGAATCAGCTTTGTTTTAATTGTGTGAGCTGTACAGAAAGATAGCAATATTTTTGTTTATAAATAACCACATGTTATCAGATACAAAAAGTATTTTCAAGTTTTTAAACTATTTTATCTTCTTCATGATATATATATATATATATAAAACTGTTTCATGAGTATATTAAATTTATTTACTACTTTGAATTTCTAAAATATATTTTCCAGTATTAAATACTGAAATAATTTTGAGTAAAACCTAAACTGATATTATTCTTTCAACAAAAATTTACTTTATTCTAAAAAGCTACCATATATGAACAAAGGGTTTTTCAACTAAAGGTCCATATTTTTATAACTCATCATTAAGAAATATTTGCTGCTTTAATGAAAACCAAATACAATTTCTTGTACACATGAAATTGCATTTCAGTGATCTTCAGCTTATTTTATTTTTTAACTTTGTTAGTGTTACAATATACCTAATTTTTCTTTTACTTTTTATACTAATAAATCTATATTTATGGCCTGATAATAGTCCTATAGCTATATGTAAAATATTAAATTTTACAATTTAAAAAAAAAATTTTATGCTGCTTGCATTTTCAGATTAACTCCCTTTGTGTATGTTTATCTATTTGAAGATGTCCTACGTCAAATGTCAAAATTGTTGATTTGTTACTAAAAATAAATAGGAAGTTTCCCTTTTTCATCCGAAAACAGAAGTAGTCTTTTTGTTTACTGTTAGTTCAGTATGTGTAAAATTTGACATAGTGATATAAATATGTCTGACTCACATTCTCATCATAATTCTTAACACAACTTAGTATACAACAAAATAAGTCAATTAAAATCGGAAACCATTTTCAAAAATAGATACAATTTGATTTTTTTTTTTTTTTTTTTACTCAAGCAGATAAAAAATCTATTTATATTTAAATTTTGTCACTTATACAAAGACAGTTAAAAGAAAAAGGGTGAATCCTTTTTATGAGAAACATTTTAAAACATGTTACTTTTTTTTTAAGTAATGTTTATCTTGGCTTCTATTTCTTGAAAACGCACCATTTGTATCCACTGTTTGGAATCATTTATTTTTGTATACTGTATACACTCATGTATAAACCTTGAATTTTTTTTTTTTTTTTTTTTTTGCATGGATTTTAACCCTTCCAGAAAAAAAACTTACCTGTGTATAGTGCAACCAGACGCCAAAAATGCATGATTTTTAAGCTCTTCAAAAAAAAAATTACCAGTGTATAGTACAGCCTCCTATATTTTCTGGTTTTTAAAAGAAAGAAGAAAAAAATGACAAGATCTCACACTATATTCTAGTATATATGGTAAATAAAAATAAAAATTTTATATTTAATCAATCTCTTGATTCCTTTTTAATTAATGTTTTTATTTTCATTCTATTATAGTAGTATACAAAAATTAATATTTAACAACTAATTTAAATAATAGATTTTGTAAATGCTGGTAAATACTTTTTCAGGCAATGAAATATTTCTGGATCAATTCTTGATGACTCAATTTGATTTTAACGGAATAGGCAATCAACTGTCAAGTGCTGGTTTCTATCATAAGAACGGTCTTGTTCATGACAAATTATTGCTGAAATTATTTGTATTTTAACAAAACATGCTGGTGTAGAAATGGAAATATAAATGTTTTAATATTATGGCTTTAGATGGAATATTATTGCAGTGTATGAAATAATATTTCTCATGATTCCTATGAGGTTTGATCCAAGTTCAGCTCAATTGCATATCATGTTATCTCGCTTATGTTGCATTGTTTGAAGTAAAATTTAAGTTCTTTAAGTCAGTCTAATGTTTCTTAAGTGAATGATACCATAAAATAATTTTGCAGAAGTTAGAATAAGGACTTTTTTTTTTTTTTTTTGTCTGAATTTTCATATATTTTGAGAACATAAATTTTTATAGTGAATTGAGTCAGATGTGCAGTTCAAATATGTGGTACCCATACAAATTAAAAACATAATGGCAAAAGAACAAATATATAATTCTGTAAGATGGTAACTATCAAAGTAAAATTGTTTTCATTCTGTAAAAGTGTATTTAATTTCTTAAATTACTATCTGCCAGTGTGCAATCATGATTTTCTTTTCAACTTTAAAGGATTAAGAATATACTTATCATTAATCTCTTTCTAATATAACCGGCCTTAAAATAAGTAGCCAAAAAATGTATGCATTGCACCCGCTCCCCTGCAAGATGGAAAGAATTGATTTACTAATAAAAAAAAAAAAAGATAATTTCCTAAAGTGTACTTGCTTATGTAATGTTTATTTAGCAACTTATCATAATTTTCTTAGTGTTTGAAAGCTTTTTTTCCCTCTTTCTCAATGATTCATTTAAATTAACTTGAAAAAGTTATCCAACAATAAACAGTATCTGCATCAATAGATACTAAATTCACTAACCAAAGATGCTAATATTAAATTAGTATCTCTTTTAACTGCACCCTGGTTCAGGCCTGTTAAAGCATTTTCTAAATAAAGTAATGAGAGGATGAAGTATATTGTATGGTACTGTGATCTATTGATAATGGTTTATATTTGGCCATGGTTATGCTGGAAAAAAATAATATTGATGTTGATTTCAATTTCCCTCCAAAATGAACTTAAATTTTTTAAAATCGGTATTTGAGCTAATGTGTCAAAGCAGCTATCAAAAGTCATTAGAGTTGTGTTAGGAAAGGATGACACATTGAAATTTAAGTAAGGCATTTAAAGGAAAGTTTGGATAATCAGGCAGATCTAATTGTTGAAAATTTCATACAAATATGGGAAAAAATAGGAGGCAGGCAATGATAAATATTCAAAATCTTGTTATTCCTCTTAAATTGTTCTTAACAAACTCTGGATCTAAAAAAAACAAAAAAACTAGGAATTTATAAAATAATTGAATGACTTCATATTAGAAATCATTTTACAGTGATACTTTCAAGATACATTTATTGAATGTTCTGCTATATGACCTGCTTTTTTTTCTCAAATATTTTTCTTCAGAATACTTTTAGTTAAAATTGCAAAGAAAGCAGAAAATATTTAAATAGAAAAAAAAAACTTGAAAATATTGCATATAAGGCTGTCTGAAGCACATTCTACTAATGAACTAATGTTATTAAATAACTATAAATTAGAATTTACTTTTAAAAAAAAAAAAGTGATGACACTGTATCCTAATGGCCAGTACTTATGATTCCATAAGAGAAAATGATACATGTCTAATGACTTTACAATCTGTTATTAAATTTGTTTTACAGGGGCAATACCAGGCAGTCATGTAATAGTGAAGATGACACAGATGATGTAGTAGATCATGATTACAACGTGGCCTTCCATGCAGTAAACAAAGTGACAAACAAAGGTCGTTGGAGTAAAGAGGAGGTAAGTTTTGGTGGAATTAAATAATAAACCGTCTGTTCCATTAAAAAGAATATACTAGAAAGAAATGACATTAAATCATGGTTCATTGAACAAATAAACAAATCAGATGCCTTATGATGCAGTTTACTGGACACTTCATTTTCATGATAATCTCTAATTTTAATATATAAATGATCAAAGGGAAGTAAATGAAAAAAAATAAAGTTTCCGAATAATAGGTTCTTTTTATGCTTGTGCATACACACTTGTATTTTTTTTCCTCTTTCACAATGCTTCATTTAAAATCAAATTTTGAAATAACCATCACGAAAGCATTTTCATATGTGTGTGTGTGTCTTAGATATTTAGAATTTTTTTAAATTGAAAATAATTACTCTGCAATTTTTCACATGACACAGCGGAGATGATATTATCAATGGGTGTAATCCCACGGTATTAAATCAGGCTAATTTTATATTGCATATCTTTAAAAAAAAAATTTTTTTTTTTTTTCCTAGATAAGATCTCTCCATATTTTCAGATCTCACAGCCATAAAAAAAGAAATTAAAAAAGAATAATAAATGATATTTACTTTTACTATCAATAACCTTGACATTTCAATTTCTATAACTTTATATGACATTAATGAATTTGGGCCCAAATTTCAGCACACAAGCAACTTTAATGGTTCCTTATGTAATGCTAATAAAAATAAAACTCTAAAGTTATCTCTTTGGAAGTTACTCGTTCTAAGTTTTAAATTTTTTGGGAAGATATGTTTAAAAGGTTCCTCAAAATGAAGTGTAATTCAGAAGATATATATATATTTGTTCTGGGTTGGATATTTGCTTGCATTAAACATTGAAGTTGTCATGGTTTAATAATTATATTGAATATTATGTAAAAGTAACCTCAATATATGAATGGAACAATATTTAATAGCTTCTTTTAAAAAAGAATATAAAATATAATATCTACTGAATAGAGCCACATTTGGTACAGTTCACAACTGTTGTGCACCCTCTGAAGATCAGATGCACTAGCAAATGGCAGTTTCCTTTTTAAAAAGTAAATTAGAAATATGAACAAAGTTGTTTAGCTGAAAAATATCTTCACTTTACATGTTACTTCTATTTTTATTTGATTTTAGGATAACCTCCTCAGAGAGATTGTTGCTCGACATGGAACAGATGATTGGAAAGTGGTTGCTGGATATTTTCCTGATCGTACTTATATCCAGTGCCAGCATCGGTGGCTGAAAGTGTTGAACCCAGAGCTAGTCAAAGGACCATGGACCAAGGCGGTTTGTAGAATTCTGTCCCTTTCATTGCTTTTTCTTTTCTGAATAATTATTTCTTCATTATTTTTATTATACAAGTGGAAATGCCTATTTCACTGTTCATACTTGCAATTCTTCTTGTTAGTCTCTTATGATCTTACACAATAGTATATTTTTGATTGGGACATTAACATCTAATAATGTATGCAACATGTGAGATATATATATATATATATATATATATATATATATATATATATATATATATATATATATATATATATATATATCTCACATCATATACATGACGTCATATACATACTAGTTAGTATGCTGTACTGTTAGCTAGTATTGTGTATAGTACAATTTATAACTGCTGATAATATTGTTTATCTGCTGTTAAGCATCTGAGAATGTCCAATTAGCCTCTTAGTCATTTCTGTACATCTTCTTAATTTTGTTATCTATATTTGTGTCGGGCCTCTTAGTTCAACCAGCTTATTTCAAATTTAACTTCCATAATTTATTGCACTTCAAACATGTTCTATATACTTCTCCTTTTTTATTTTATTTATGCCTATTTTACTAGCATTTTAGTGATTAGTTCCTGTCTCTACAGTATTGAACTAAAAGCTCAATCTCTAATTACACTATTTTTATTCCTCAAAAAATTAATTCTAATTTACACAAGTAGTTATAATTCCATTATAACCCTTTGAATTATGCAAAATATAACTTTGCATTAGCTTTTACAAACATGCCAAAGCAACCTTCATGATACAATTGGTCAATTCTCTTTGTATTAAATATATTGTTTTCATTTTGATCAAGGAGGATGAAAAAGTTCTTCAATTGGTCCGAGAGTATGGACCCAAACGATGGACACATATTTCAAAGCAGCTGAAAGGAAGAACTGGGAAACAATGCAGAGAAAGGTTTGTCTGTTTTTAAACTTCCAATTTCTTTAACTTTTTAAAACCTATATCTTAGATTTGTTTCCATTTAAATTTCACAATGGTAGTTTGACAGTATTTATTTGTCCCTAAATTTTTATCAATTTTTTTTCTTTAAATTATTAATGACCAACATTGCTGTATCAAATCGGTAGCAAACTAGTTGTATGACTTTAGTAAAATGTGAGGTAGAAAATATGAATGCATCAAACATGTAAGAAAAGCTATATGTAGAAATTTGTAATTAGCACCTCTGTTCTAGCTTTTTGCTTCTCAACTGAAAAGAAAAATCAATTCTAGCATGAATGGCTACCTGCAACTGATTTGTGGTGTGATCAAGTCTACCTCAACATATTTCCTTCCTGTGATGTGTGGAATCCTGTCTCCCAGATCTAAAGAGATACACTAACAACAGGGCCCATTAAGACACATCTCACCTCCTACATCACCTAAGCACAATGAGGAATCACACTTCAGAGATTTAAGTCATGTAACTCACCATCATGTTGCTGAAGGCTTCCTATTCAACAAACCACTAATACACCTGAAAAATAGGCAAACAGCATGTTGCAGTAAATATTGAGAAACACTGACAGCCAAATAAAAACGTTCATCTCAGACATGTCTCCCTGTCCACTAGATCATGATTTACAAGTGAGGACATTGGGACAAACTGAATTGTCTCCATTTAGAATACAGAGCTTTCATGCATGCACATGATCAGTATCACATACAACCCAAGCTGCATATGTGAGGGGTTACAGACCATGCAACATGTGCTCACACGTGAACATGCAAGGTAGCATGAAAGAAGTTAGCAACATTTTTCAAGGCTGGTTATGAATCTGTGACATTGACATATGATTGTCTGAACTTCTTTTTCACAATGTTCTTAATGCATGTCTGAATCTGTGGGTGTACTGTTTTTGTTCATACATAAACCAACTAATTTGGGAGGATATTATGAAATTTGTTTATTAATTATAAACATAGTATATTTTTTCCTGAGTGATGTTAGAAGAATTCTTTATACACAAATCATGCACAGAAAAAATTTTAAAGACACTTAACAGAAACTCAAATGTGTGTTTTAATTCCTTTTTACTGCCACTATTTAAAATGTATTTTCTCTTTATTTCCACATAGTTGATTTTCATACAATATATCATTTTGTTCTGTCCTGTCAGATGGCACAATCACTTGAACCCCTCAATCAAGAAGAGTGCATGGACTGAGGAAGAAGACAGGCTCATTTATCATTTGCACAAAACACATGGGAACCGTTGGGCAGAAATTGCAAAGAATTTACCTGGCAGGTAAATGACTTAAATCTGTGGCTCGATTAAAACAAATTGTTCAGATCTCTAACCATATTTTCTCATTAATCCTCAGCTGTTTTTCTAATATTGTTAACCTTTATAATTTTTCAAATTTATTTTTTGTAGCAACATTTAATACTATTCTACATTTTCTATGTTACTAATTAATTTCTCTTTGAGGATTTGTAGCTAGAGCCACTGTGTAATGTTTACTTTTTTCTTTTTTTAATAGAACGGACAATGCTATAAAAAACCATTGGAATTCAACTATGAAAAAGAAATATGAATCAATGGAGGAGCAGAAGAGCAGTAGCTTGCCTGTGTACTCACACCCATACACACCAAGCACTTCTGATAATATCACAAATTTACATCCTGTGAGGCTTTTTAAGAACCAAGTGAGTGTTTTTATTTTGCTTCAGTAAACTCTCTTATGGGACCATATGGGGTGGAATTCAATGGGTTTTGTTAAAATTTAGCTCTGCCATCTAATGGGATGCAAAAATTATGGGATAAAAAAATAGCCAAGTGATCATTTTTATCATACATGTTTATGATAAATGCTTAAATTAGAATGAAAGATGAAATGATTCTGTGTTGACTGTTCCTGATCCATTACACTTTTTCTAATGCTATGGTTATTGAATTACAACAATAATTATAACCATGTTCTTTTTAACAATCTTAAATTCTGAATATTTTATGTATTTAACGTTATCTATAACTATCATTATCGATAATTTTTAGGAATTTATCCACTTCATCAGGTTAATATAACACTACATTGTTGGCTGTAATTTACAGAAATAAATGAAGCAAGAAATAAGTTTATTGATGTCAGAATTTACAATAAGGTTTTCCGGCATCAGAGCCAGTTTGATCATGCTTCATTTAAAATGTAAATTACATGAAAAGAAGCTTGATAATATTTTTATTATTAACATAATTTATATTTACAAATTCATGTTCATATTTAGTCAGTAAATATATTGTCTGCTAATAGTTTCTATTTGCTTGTCTTTGAAAGTATTTCCTTTATATTTTCTTCAGACGAACTGGAGTGGAAACATGAGAAACTTAAAACCCAGTAGTTTATCCCAAGGTGAGTACCTCTTTAATGTCAGCCTACTTTTCTCCAGATTCTATTCTATTACCATCAACATAAGACAGAAAGATCTAATATGCAATCACACTTGTATGTATTTCTTTCTCTTTGACATTTTCGCCTTTTAACAATGAACATCTTGGCTTGAGAAGACAGAGGTTGTGCTTACTGTTGTTTGGTAATCAAGAATGAGTTAGTATTGTTTTTGTAATAAAGATACTTTGGTAATCATTTTGATAAGAATCCTAGCATATTGTTGGTAAGGGATAAGTTATTAACTAAATTTATAATTAATCTAGTCATTTATCATTGATTTAGATATCTGGCTTTGTGTCTCAGCAATTCTTCTGTTTAATATTTATCAATTGGACAAAATTAGGTCCTGAGTATGATGAGCAGTATCATGAGATGACACTGTTGAATGCAGTTGACAGACAGCTCCATACTGTGCATTTGCATCCTGGATAATTGCATACCTCTGATGACTTTTTTGAAGTTACCTTTTCTTTTCTTTTCTTTTTTTTTTCTTTTTTTAAATATAGAAATTTGCACACCAATACCTTTTAATTACTCTAAACAAGCAGAAAGGTAATTACCTTAAAAAAAATAAGAGAAAAATTTATTTTTTTTAAAGCAAAAGAAAATTAAGCTAGCAGTTTCAGTTTACTCCAGCAGTGTGTACCACAAACATCTAATAGATTCTGGATTTTATAGATTATATTTTTATTTGGAACCCATGGCTATGTGCTGAAAATCAAAACCTGGTGAAAAAAATATTTGTGGATGAGGAAAATTACAGCTTCCACTATCATAAGAAAAACATCAATGAAACAAAAACATACTAGCAATTTACAACACTGTTAATCTGTCATTACATTTTAAACAAAAATGAACTTTTTTTTTTTTTTTTTTTTTTTTTTAATTCATTCCATTTTAAAAATTTATGATTACAGTCCATGCTTTTTATGGTAATTGCCTTTAAAAGCTTCAAAAAATTATCAGAGGTACACAATTGTCCAGTATGCAACTGTCCAGTACACAACTGTCCTAAAACCTGTTGAATGCAACCCAGACAGCTGCATCTTGGGTTTTAATTTACATGCTGAAAGTTGGCACACTACTACTTCACAGTTTAGTATGACAAGCACTTGTCACCCAATGTTACCGATCTTGATTTTTTTTAGTTTTAGTTTTTTTTTTTTTTTTTTTTTTTTTTTCAGAGACAAGAACTTCAGTATGTCCTGAAGCTTAACATCTGGAAATTCCACTTTCTCTTGATATGGTACAGGTAAATGAGCTTGATGTGAAGTCGAAGTATAGCACTAGTCAGTCGCTAAGCTTGCCTTCCTCCTACGTTATTCTCAGTGATGAGTTATATAGGCTTTCTCTTGCACTTATGCAAATTAGGCATATTATTTTGCCAGTATCACTACATCTCCCTGAAACATAGGTTTTATACCTCTAGTAGTTCTTGTACTTCTTCTCGTGATGGTTTCATTACTTTGCTCTACTTCTCTCTCTCCTATATTTCTTTCTCTGGGAAACCTAGATCTGTCCCGCGCTAAGCTGTAATCATAGGCATCTTCTTGCATTATTTGATCTTTGTCCGAACTTTCAAACTCGTTCTGTCCCACTTGATCCTGCATTATTTCGTCTTCTGATGTTTCATTCTGTAACGATTGTTCTAATAAATCATTAACGGACGGAATCGTAGACATTTCCTCATCATTTTGATCTACATGTTGATGTTTTCTCTATTTATTATAGCTGTATTGTGGCCTTTTTGCATGATAAATTCTGCCCTTTCCGGATTTGCTTCTTTGTTCTTTTTGTACCAGATTTTTTCATTTGTGGAATACGACATCATTAGCAGAGCTCTAATTTCTCTTCACATTAAAGCTGATGGGCTTTCTAGTCTTCCAGCGTGTGGTATTGTGCAATAGCTTAAAAGCAGCCTCAGTAGAAAAACTTCTACTTTTTCTTTTTGCTGAGAGCATGCTTTTAGTCCCATTTTTACGGTCTGCACCATTCTTTCCACTAACCCGTTCGACTGAGGGTGATATGGGTGTGTCTTATACAGTTTACATCCTATTTTTTCTAACCATAAATTAAGATCTTCATCACAAAATTCTGGTGCGTTGTCAGATACCAGTGTTTTTGGTATGCCGTTTCTGGAAAATATGACCCTTAGAATCTGTTTTATCGTAGAACTTTTCTTGTCTGGCACCCGGATTATTTCAGGCCAGCCTGAAAAAGTCTACTAGAATTAATAAGAGTCCCACTCCAGTAATATACTCATGATCCATATGCACCCAACTCCATGGCTCCACTTCTCTGGGCCACGAATGTAATCTGTGTAAAGTTTCTTAATTCTTTACATTTTTTTGGCACCTTTTTATATATTCTTCGACATCTCTTGAATATCCCAGCCACCATGCTTCTAATTTTATCCTTTTTTGTGTGGCTGCTACTCCACAGTGTATATCATCATGTACACTTTTTATTACCAATTTTCTTTGTGTTTCTGGGGGAACTACCAGATCCCCATTACAAATCACTCCATGTTCTATCGTTAATTTCTGTCTTATTTCTTTGTTCTAGGGCGGAAAGACTCTACAATTTCCCCATGAGTTTTGTCTTATTCTCAATATTATCCTACTTAGTACTGGATCATGTCTAGTTTCCGCAGCCATTCTATCTAAAGACAAAACATCAGTCTCTACCCAATGTAAGAATGCATCTTCAAATTCTTGTGTTTTATCTTTTGACTCCTTATAAAATTGCAATCTTGAGAATGCATCTACGTGTGGAATTGAATTTCCTTTGACATATTCTATATCAAAGTCAGATGCTATCAATCTTATTGCCCATCTTAGTATCCTCGATGTTGTGACTTTGGGTAATTCTTTCCTTGGGTTAAATATAAACTCTAATGGTCTATGATCACTTCTTAACAGAAATTTTTTCCCAATTAAAAATTATCAGACTCTAGTAGTTGTTCACGCAATAGCCAATGCTTCTTTCTCTATATTTGAATAATTCAGTGTTCGTTAGTCTTCTTGATAAATACATTATCAGATGTCCTTCTTGTGATAATATTCCTGATATCGAATGTTTGCTTGCATCTGTGGTTAACATAATGTCCTTTTTTGGATCAAACATTTTCACTACTGGTTTCTTTGCCATAATTACTTTTAATCTATCAAAAGCTTTTTGTTGTTCCTCTGACCAAATAAATTCAACATTTTTTTTTTTTTTTTTTTTTTTTTTTTTTTCTTAAATTTGCAAACGGTTCAGTCTTGTCCATGTATTTTGGTAAATATCGCCTGTAAAAATTCACCAATCCCAAAAAAGACTCCAGTTCTTTTTTATTTGTAGGTGTAGCTACTTTTAGTATTTTTTCTATCAAGGCTTGGTCTGGTGATATACCTTCTTTTGAAATGGAATAACCTAAAAAAGATATTTTACTACGATTGCTTACGCATTTTTCCTCATTTATTGTCATTCCAGCATTTCTTAATCTATTCAAGATTATGTCGGTTTTCTTATTTAATTAATTTTCATTAGTAGCTCATGCATATATCGTCTTAGTAACAAATCATATTTTTCATATTTTCTAAAACCTGTTTGATGGCCCTTTGAAATATGGCACTTGTGGTTTTTATTCCATATGGTATCCTTTTCCATCTTAGTAACCCTATTGGTGTATTTATTGTGGTTACTTCTTTGAAGTTATCGTCTATTGGTATTTGGTGGTATGCCGTTTTTAAATCTATTTTTGTAAAAACGCTCATTCCTGCCAGTGCATGCAATGCAACTTCAACATTTGGTATAGGATATGAATCCGAATAAACTTTGTGATTTACGCCTATTTTGTAATCTCCACAAATACGTAAATCACCATCTGTCTTTCTCAAAACTACAATGGGTGATGCCCACTTGCTACCCCCAGGGGAAACATGTTCAAGAAGGTCTTGTTCTATTAATTTTCGTAGTTTTGTTACTACTAATAGCAACAAATCTACTGGTAATTTTCGTGCCTCATAATAAGAGGGGGAGACATTTTCTTTTAATCTTAAACTCGCTTTACAGTTTTTTAACTTTCCAGTTTTTTCCATTTTTATCTCATTAATTAATTTGGTAGAATTTATGTTAAGCACGTCATTTTCAAGAAGTCCGTGGTTCTTTTTACAACTTGTGACAATTATAGGTATTACCTCAAATTTATCTTCTAACTCCAAGGAACCTTCAAAGTATCCTAAAGTTTTTATGACCGACCCATCAAATTGGCAGTTGTAAACTGCTCTTTCTTAAAGGTGGCTTTCCAATGCGTTCCCAAAAATTTCTTGGTATCAGCGTTACTTCACTCCCCATATCAATTTGCATATCTAAATTGCAGTTGTTGAATTTAACCTTTAGTATAATGTCTTTTCTTTTGTTCAAGTTTTTCTATATTCTTATTTTTTAATGTAAAGCCTCTCATATTGGTTTCGTTTTCTTCAACTCTTTCAATGTTTTTCTGTTTGAATCTGCATACTGCTTGAAAGTAGTTCTTTTTTAAACAATTTGTACAGGTTTTTTCCAAATGCTGGGCATTTTTCCCTTTTTATTTCATGTTCATGTCCACAATACAAACATTTTCTTATCTTTTTTAACATGTATGTATCAGGGAATATTTGTTCGCTGTGTTGACTTTTATGATGGTTGTATTTCTGTATTAATTCTTGTTGCTGTATAAAGTCAATGCATGTATTTAAAGACATATTTCCTATTTGTAGTTGTTCCATTATTTTACATCGGTGTGATGCATTGCACATACCTTCAATTAACCTTAATTGAATCAAGTCCTCTTCAATAGTCTGTTTGTCTTGTCCAAGTTTTTCAAATTCATAATATCTACTTGCATTTCATAGAGGGTGTAGATATTTTATAATTGGTTCGTCAATTTCTTGTTTCATCGACATGAACTTTGTTCTTTCTGCCACTACCAGCCTTTTCTTGGGTCTCATATTTCTCCTTATAATCTGACTTATTTTTTCGAAAGTCAGGTCTTCCAAGTTTGTGGGATGCGCGATGGTGGAGACTTTCATTATCGCCTCACATCCAGCTGTAGCCAAAAATAAATCCGTAATTTAATTTTCGCCTCCCTTCTCCTTGTTGTCTTTCAGCTTTTTACTTCTCGCACTGGCAGAAAAACAGCAAATCCATGCATCCACATAATCTGAATCTTCTAGGGACAATGCGATCCTATCGGCGATGCCATTGATGTGAAGTCGAAGTATAGCACTAGTCAGTCGCTAAGCTTGCCTTCCTCCTACGTTATTCTCAGTGACGAGTTATATAGGCTTTCTCTTGCACTTATGCAAATTAGGCATATTAATTTGCCAGTATCACTACAGAGCTGAAACAAAATTAAAAATAGACAGAAAATTCCTGAAAATTAGCACTGGACAATATAACCAAACAATCTTTTTAGTTACTGTGAGAAAATAACACTTTGATTTTGGGAAGAAGGTTAGGCTGAGAACTCAACATCCCTTCATATGAGTACAATTTTTCACACTACTGTAGCCCGTTCTTTTAGTTTATACAGTGTTTCTATGTATATTTCAGCTAATTGAAAATAAAATATTGGTTCTATTAAAAATAGTTGTATTTTTTAATCAACTATTTTTTTTCATTTTTAACTTACTGCTGTATACATGGTATTTTTCAATGTTCTTAGCTTTTCTGAAAGTTTTGAGAAGAATCTGATCACCAGTATCTATCTTGAGCTTTAAAGCTTCAAGAGTCGAACAACTGCTCTTAAAAAGCTTAAATTAGTTTTAGACAGTATGGTCAGATAAACTGTGAGCAACTTCAGTGGCTTTGTAGCCCAGTTCAAAATAAAGCCACTAAATTGGCAGAATTTTAATACCAGTATTTGACATAATGTCTGAAGCAAAAGTACAGTTGAGTAGCATTGATAATGATATAGATAATATAGTGGGGCCATTGGTTTTATGTGAGTCCATAAAATACCTTTGGAATAAAGGTCACAAAAAAAAATATATATACACTTTTGATCCACCCTCATATCTAATGCCTTATTTTTTTAAGATTTGGTGCTGATGTCATTTCTAGCAGCAGTTTCTATTTTGTTTTTTATTAGATTTTAGCATTATTAACCACAGTTGATTTTAAATAGCACTTACTTTTGTCACACACACACACACATATATATATATATATATATATATAATTTCTGTCTAAAAAGTTGGCAGTTTATGACTTCCAGGTGATTGTCAAGGAATTATAACAAAGAAAAGCCAGTTTGCTCAATTATAATGAATGAGTAGAGGGTTCAATCCTCACTGGATCCCCCATATTTATGTAGTCTTGTGGTGAAACGCAGGTACACTTAGTAAATAAAGAAAAGCCTAATTATCATTAACTACTCTTTCTCATTTCAGTGATGGACAATTGTGGTACAGATGCAAAAGATGAAAATATTCAACCTCCTGATAGCTGGATTACAGATAAAAAATCATCATTGATTTCTTCAACTTCAAGTGATACTGACAATGGATTTGGTGGCTTAACTTCTTTGGATCTTATCAGTGGAACTGATGTAAACCCTGGAGTCACACCCATCAAGTTTACAGCTCTGAATAAAAAGGGTAAACACTGCTTCCCAGTGCATTCTTTCATACATGTAATATAATCATACTTTTTTCATTATTTGTCAATCTATGATGCTATGTCAAATCCAAAACGAATTGCAGGAAATATGAAGGATGGTGTTTGGTTTCAGGAAAGCATCAGTGATTCATTGATCATAAAATTTGTCAATTTTTTTTTTTTTTTTTTCTACATTTTTCATGTTGGGATGTCTTTAAATACAGAATTAAAATTTTATTTTTTTTCATTAATTTATTACATTTTTCTATTATCTGTGTTGCATTTAAATGAGTATTTTCAACTGTTACACCTGATCTAGTAAAATAGAATCAGAAGTTTCATTTATAATGAAAATGCATTATTTAACTTCTGAATTGTAATGAAGTTTTTCTATTTGCTAATTCTTCTGATGATATTGAACAGGGCTGAGTTTATCTATTTTAGTTTTAAGTGGTTAATCTTAATCTTACTAAATATAATTTAAAAAATAGAATTGGTAACTCTTTATTCTACTTCTAGCAAAAAATGCTTTATACTTGATAATTATTGCTTCATAAATTATTTATAAGTGACATAATTACAATTACAGACCTTCGATTTGATGGACGTGCTATTGAAAAGTTAAAGTCACCTGGCCGTCTTATTCCAATTGCTTCAAAAGTTGCTTCAAAACTGTCAACTCCTCCCACTATATTACGAAGAGGAAAACATCGGCGAAAGGTAAGTGCTTTCTTACCTGTCATTTAATTTAGACTTACTTAAATTGTCTTTGTTCATGAATAGATATAACAACTGTTTAATTGCTGCTTTTTTTAGTAATAATTCACTAACACATTAGTAAATGTTTAAGATTATACTAATTAATTTTTTCTTATTGCTTCAATTGAAGAGAAGTATTTTTATCTCCTTCTCTCCCACACTCTCTCTCTCTCATCATTTTTTTTAATCTCACCAAATTTACAAGATTTTCCAATCTCAAAAGTGTTTTTTTTTCTCAAGAATCAGTGTAATGAAATACTTTATGGCATTAACATAAATTCTGAGACAATAATCTACTGACATGATAGTGGCGATATGTGTGGGTGTGTTGAGTTCTTTGCTCAAGCCACTTTCCAAAATCTGACCAAATAATCAGACATGAGTTTATTTAGATATACTCCTTGGTATGCTAAGAACTTTTCAGCACTCCCATGTTTGCACAAGTAAAAAACAAAATTTACTTCCAGTCATTTTATGGGAAGATGTTGGGAATAAGAAACAAATGTAAGGAACCAAAAAAAAAGTAAAATAAAAAGGGCCAGTGAGCATACATTTTCCAGCTAAGTTAACTTTAAATTAAAAAAAACAAAACACTTCTGGGTTTGCTGATACAGTGCATTGCAAAAGTCTACACCCCCTTGAAAACTGGATGTATTTTGTTTATTTTGATACCAACAATTAATATTTTAAACTGCAATTTGTTTTAATAAGCAGATCTATCACACTTTTATTTAATACACAAAATACATTTGAAAAATTTAAAACTGATTCTTAAACAAAGATAATTTTGAAAAATGTCTATGCAAAAGTCTACACCTCCTTTGGAATATCGTCCGCTAATACTTTGTGAATGATCCTGCTGTGTCAATTATAGCCTGCAGACACCTCGGGTAGCATTCCATGAGCTTGCTGCAGTAGTCTGCTGACAGTTTTTGCCATTCTTCATGGCAGAACTTCTTGAGCTGTCAGATTGGATGGGGAACGTCGGTGCACAGCCAGTTTTAGATCTCACCATAGATTTTCTATAGGATTGAGGTCTGGAGATTGGTTGGGCCACTCCAAAACTGATTTTCTAGCTAGCAAACCAAGCCTTAGTGCTTCTTAACACATGCTTGGGGTTGTTATCTTGTTGAAAGTTGAAATTGTGATCCAAGTGCAGAGCTCTAGCAGACTTCAGCAGGTTTGCCTCCAATATTTCTTGGTACTTGACACCTTAGATGTTAACAGCCCTCCAGGCCCTGCAGCTGAAAAACGGCCCCAAAGCATGATCGAGCCACCGCCATGCTTTACAGTGGAGACGGTGTAATGAGGTTGGTGAGCAGTGCCTTTTTTCTGCCAAATGTAGCGTTTCATATTTTTTCCAAATAACTCGACTTTGGTCTCATCTGACCACAAAATCTTTCGCCACATGGTCATGGAATCATTGATGTGACTTTTGGCAAAGTTTAGCCTAGCTTGCTTGTGCATAGGCTTCAGAAGAAGCTTTTTTTTCTAGCTACTGTCCCTTGCAGGCCAGACCAGTGCAATACTCTGGAAATTGTAGATTCTTGGACATCCATTCCCAGTACTGGGAACGGAAGCTTTCAAGTCTTCCAGTGTTGCACTAGGGTTGGAGGTTGCCTCCCAGACCAGTTTTGATTTTGCTCTTCTGTTACGTTTGCTTGGTCTTCCAGATCTTGGTAGAGTAGCAGTGGTTTTGTGCACTAACCACTTCTTATCTACAGTTTTAACAGTGCTTAGGGGCAATTCTAAAGTTTTTGCAATCTTTTTATAGCCATTATTTTCATTGTACTTTTGAATAATAAGGTTTTTAAGTCCCTGAGACAGAGGTTTGTCCATTTTCTTTTGAGTTGGACACCTTGTGTTTACAGTCAGTCCAAAGACCAACATACTAAGAAACCATGTGGTGGATGATTTTTGTAGGTAGTTAAATCACCTTATATAACAAAATAATAGACTGGCCAAGTTTGTTTGTTATGCTAGAACACCCATGTCACTTTTGATTGTTCTGGATTGTATACATCAATGATAAACTACGTGATAACACAGTATAAGATCTGGGGGGGATGTAGACTTTTGCAAAGACATTTTTCTAAGTTATATGATTTTAAGAATCAGTGTGAAATTTTAAAAATGTAATTTTTATATCAAAGGAAAGTGTGATGGATCTGCTTATTATTTAACAATCATTGGAATTGAAAAAATGTGTTGTTCCCTGTTAAATTATACAAAATATATAAATTTTCAAAGGGGGTGTAGACTTTTTCAAGCCACTGTAGGTCTTTCTTAGAAATGCAAAATCTTTTTTCTTGTCACATCAAGATGTTGGTAATGCCACATTCACTAAAATTTACTGAACTCGCGCACTGTCTATATCTCTCAGCCAGATAGTGGGGGGAAAGAAACTAAAGTTGAATTGATTTATTTGCATAACACCTCATAAGTACAGAAATATATAGTGCTTCTTTTTATCAAGCAATACAGCCACAAGCAGAACTGGCTTCTAAGGCAAAAAAAACCTGTCCTTGAAGCATGCAAACCATGTAGCCTTGTGGTTGAAGTATCTTAAGCCTTTCTATCAAATCATCTCACAGTACAACCCCCCTCCCTTTCTAATATGTCATATAATACTTAACAATACTTGGGTTTCAGAGAGGCTATCATCAGTTGGGTGCGCAAATCTAGCTGAGGAAAAGTACATGAACAACAGATCTCACAAAATACCATGTGAATGCAAAGGATTTCAAAACATAGAAGTTGAAGTACAAATAGACAGGAAAAAAAAATGACAGTAGATGGGCAAACTGTACACCTTGGTATTATCACTGTCTCATACAACCCAGTTCATCATCCACCCCCAACTACCTCAATTTTGATTGCTTGTTACCAATGTGAAGACATCTTCAATATACACAGAATATATCTGAAGTGATAGTGCCCAGTAATATAATTCCACACACAACCTGATTCATCCTCAATTCTGGCAAGGAAAGTCCCAATATAAAGACATAAAGCATGGATAAAAGCAGATCTAGGCAACATAAGAGGCTTTAATCTTATCCCATTCACTTCCACCATAGATCTGGGTGTTGCATACAACAGGCATATCTATATCATGAATCCAGCATTTGACTACATTAAATTGAATCTCTATGATTATATGTACCAAATGTCGGTGGATAGTCATTTTGCTAAGATCCTCACTAAAACTTAACTCTGTATTTAACATAATGATGGTCGAAAATTACTAATAATACAACTGCCATGTTATTTCTTGCATAGAAATATTTGAAGTATTTGGTTATAACCTTTTGCTTCATTCAGGTGCTTCAGTTGACTCAAAATAAGGAAAGTCAATTCATTGAATTGAGCAGAGTCCAACTGGTTCCCTAGTGAAAAGCTTCTGGTATAGTTTCAAAACTTCTCACAAATGCTTTAATCAAATGTCATTCATCTGGCAATGTGACATTGATAATATGTCTATCTGTAGGATAGTTCTGCATGCAATTTAGCATTCGTATTAATTGACTTATAATCTAGTTCTAACCATCATAGCTTGATCCTTGTTAATCAAGGCCAGCTCTGCCTTAACTATGGCTACTTTATCTAGATCTACAAGTTTAAGAGTACTGTTTACTCTAAATTAAATTACAATCTGAGTTGGTGACTATAATCAGCAGTAAATAACCTAATTCCACTTTACAAATTTTCATATCACTTATTCCCAACCACAGCACTCATCAGTTCTCATTTTGCAGCTTGTGTTAGCTGGTCCTGAAAATCCTTCACATCCAAGAAGGATATGTTGAATTTCCATTATCTTTAGGATTAAGCCTACTTAAGCTTTTCCAAACTGGGGATAGCCTATGGTCTTAGGAAACTTGATTATGGGAATTTGGACAACCTAAGTCGAATCTCTTAAATTAAGTTGATGTAACCGAAACATTTTGTTGAATCTGAGTTGCTTCCATTTTTTCCAAGTTCATTTTACCTGCATTAAATTCTCATTTTGAAATTTATTGCCCAAATTAAGTTTAGCAGAGAAAAGAAAAATATTTACACTCCTTTGGGTATAAAATGATTTTGCAAATTTATCACCACAATCAAAATTGGGATCAAGAACAGCATTTTAATCACTTAAAACTACCAAATTTGGCAATAACACAATGGGATTAGTCTGCTAACATTGGGTTCACAAACTTAGGTGAAACAAAACACTTTCTCCATCATGGTAACACCTAGCACATGCAGACTGCCTGCAAGATCTGTAAAGACAAACAAATACATTACATTCAGAGAGCAAATTACTAGCCAAGAACTAGCTATCAAAGAGTTATCAAAATAGACTGAGATGAGGTGAAATCTCAATTAATATTCTCATGGTCACTTGCAATAAGATGGGCCTCTTGCATACAATATATACTAACACGAAGGCACTAAAGGTCACTAACAAATCTATACCTAGAATCTGATATCAGCTTTCAGCCATTTAAACTAGCTAAGCAGTGGGCCATAAGTGGCTTACTGTGGTTGCATAGCTTGAAAACACTAATAATTTATCCCATGCACTCTTGGTCCATTTCAGTTTTGATGATGTCATTCTGTAGTGAACTCCTGTTGTCTCTTGGAAACAGTCTTATAGAGGGTCGGGTGAATAACTAAGACTATTATTTCAAGTGTTTGGGGGCTTTTGTTCATGTAATTGACCAGCAGAGAATGCATTTAAAAAGCTTTATTTATTACCCTTCCAGCCTACCCTAAATTTGCTGTATGCCTGGACCAGTTAAGAGATGGTCGCATTCAGCAAAATTTCAGATCTTTCATATTTCTTATTGTAAGCTCTTTATGTCTCGTATATTTGAATCAACTTGGCAAATGCTTTATCTTATTTTTGAGAGATTGTGCCTCTTAGGTTCTTAACAGGATTTTTGGTGATGGAATAGTTGGAAAGAGAGGCAAAG